CACGCAGGCAATGAGAAAGATCAGTTGCGGAGATTGGCCAATGCGTCCAGAAAGAGGTATCAGAAGTGGGTCGAATCAGGTAGCCCTGCTGCACACGAGTGCAGACTGATGGGCGAAGCCGATGACGACCGACCTCTGTACTACCCATTCGCCAATCTCGTACAACGCTTTCTCAACGACCTCAAGTTCCACCACCAAATGGCAGGTGCCCGCGTGAACATCGGCAAGAAACCCTGGACCGTGGAGGACATGCGTGATGCGTGGGGCATCCTCGACGTCAGCATTAGGACAGGACAGGCTGGTCGGAGGAAATGGTGGCTGAACGAGGGCCGCCTCGACAGGCAGACGCGGCAGGCTCGCGGACTGGTCGCGGTTTCTCTCACTAGAAGGGGCGGAACCCGCGAACAGTTCACTCGGCGTAAGCTTGCCGCGATTGCCAACGGGTTGTTAGGCTCCCTCGATCCGTCACATACCGACCAAAGGGGGGTTGATACAGGGATGAGAACCGATCCCGACACACAATCCCATCAGCCCGATGATGCCATGGAGCCGCGCCATCCGCGGCCGCCGCCGCGCCCTGCTCCTGGCGATGCTGCTGCGTCCAGCGCCTCAGGCGCGACGGACTATACGCCCGCGGGGCCACGTGCCAAGAGAGCGCGTACATCTGACTACGCCGCCTACTGGCGCGACGACCTCGAGGACAGCTACTGGGGCCTCAGGTACTGGAGTTACTACATCAACTGTTGGATCTACATCGCGATCAACAACGATGAGTACGTATACATCCAGGACATCACGTACAATGATTGGTTTCGCAACTGGATCCCGAGAACGGCTTGGGAAACATTCGCGACGAGCTACGTGACATACAACGGCCAGATGATGTGGTACCGCAGGTTCTACAAGAACGGCAACGCGTAGTGAGTCGGCCGCAAGGCCCACCGCTCAAAGGCACGAACTTCAATATAACCAAAGTTCGCCTTGAGCGGTGGCTATTACATACTTTTAGGCCACTTCATTATATAACACAAGTGGCCACGCACATACCTTTTGCGATAACCGAGGCAGCCTCCTAAGGAGCAACGCCGACGGGAGTCGCCAAACAGAATTTATACACATGGGTTTTCGAGTTCATCAACGCGACATTCTGTCTGGCCAGACATTTGCTTTTACACAAAGATGTGTTTCATTTCAAAATCGTGTTTGTCAACGCGATCTTAGCATGCATATTTTAACAGTTTAAACCTGGTTGCGTCGAGAATAATCTGATAGCTGGTGGCAGCACCTGCCTCGCAAAAGCGAGGCAGTTTGCATGTTGCTTTAGCGCTCAGATCTTCTTTCTCCGCCCACCCTTGTCTCATTCTTCTCCGCCCTCGAGTGCCGAAGCGTTTTGGGGGGCGCACCGAGGGGGCACCAAAGCGTGCCTGGCGAAGAAAGGGGGACCCAGGGTATTCCTTCTAACTTCACTTTGCAGCTGTGGCTTCGTTGATTTTAAGCCCAGCTGCCTTCTGACTTAAGGACCAAAGGAGTAAATGGGTGGCGGATTCCCTTCCTTGATTCCCGAGTCCTGCCCTCACGGGCGGGATTCGGGACGGGGGGTGTGAATGGAACCCGCATAGTACCCTCATATATACTCCTTATCCTTACCTCTCCTGCGCCTGGCCGTTTGGGCTCAGGTATTGAGATAGATCGATCAGACCTTGATCGTGCGGGAGGGAAAGATATCCATCTATCCCTCCTTCTCTCTACCAAAGGATCAGGGGTTCTGTACCCTTGTACTTCAATCCCATACACAAAACCACGGCTCTCGCTCGATGCTTCCTCCCTTCTTACTCAATGCGGTGTTCCTCCTCGCCACCGAAAGCCGCCGCCCCGACAAAACGAGCGCTCCCGCCCGAGACTTCCTTCAGGTTTAATTGCGGTGGACTGGCGCCCAACTCTCTTTTGAATTGGCGCCGCTCCCAGCAATAACAACGCTCCCGCTCGAGACTTCCTTATTTTTTCATGGGGCGGTGCTGTTCCTCGCCGCCGACAGCCCCCGTCCCGACAAAACCACGGCTTCCGCTCGATGCGCCTTCCCTTTTTATTCAAGGCGGTGTTGCTCGTAGCCGCCGTCCCAACAAAACGACACTTCGTTTTGCTTTACGCTGGACTAGTGCCCTACTCTCTTCAGCATTGGCGCCGCTCCCAAAAACAACAGCAGCCCTGCTCGAGACTTCCTCCCTTTCAATTCAGGGCCAGGTCCTTGCCTCACAGCCGACAGCCCCCATCCCCACCGAGGCAATCTTGTCGTTCGATACTTTCTTGTGCTTTACCCTTCGCTGGGGTTCCATTGGCGGTCTCGCATCGGCGCAGCAAGGCGCGGGCATGTGTTTTCGAGGCGGGATATGTTAAAATTCTTCGGATGAGGTGTTTGCAAGACCTCATTGGGCGGGAGATCTGGGAATGGGAATAACGGATCCCGCTGTAGAAGAAGAGCCCCCCATTACGTAGATGGTTATCATGATGGTCGCATGCTTCGTGTGGAAACATCGCGCAGGAGGGTAAACTGATTGGTGTTGTTGTTGTTGGACCGTCACTCCGGAATAATAATTATTGTGCATCCCCCCTCCGGCGACGTCTGCATTTTCAATTAAAGTGCTCTTCGCGGTGCTCGCATCTGGTTGTTTACAAGGGAAAGTCTTTAGGCTCAGATTGGGCCCCTGGCCCCCCGACTTAGAACAACAACAACGGGTCCCGCCTTACATTTTCTTTCCAAAGGGTGCTCTCGCGCGGGACTTCCTCACAATTTATCGCGCTCTCGCGTATGACGTCCTCGCAACTTATCCGAAAGCCGCGCCCCCGACACTCAGGAATCACGCTGTCGCTTTGACCGTTTCCCCGATTTACTTGGGAATCGCGCTATCGCTGGAGACTTCCTCGCGATTCATGCAGGACCCGCGCTTCAGCAACCCGCCTGCTCGACCTGGCCGCCTGGGCGCGCCTTCCGACCTGCCCGCTAGGGTCTGCCCACACGATCTGCCTGTCTGGTTCTGCCACGTGTTTTCTGCTCCTGCCCCCTGTTGCTAATTTCTCTCTTGTTCCATCCTTCTCCCTCCCCCTTCCATTCCTTCTCTTTTCCCTTGTTTTAGGGCCTGTGATTATTGCGCGTGACAGGTAAGGAAGATATGCCTTCAATGGGGGTACGATTGAAGACGAAAAGGGCGGGTACCGACGCTTTCGGATGTACGTGGTGGATTACACGGGCAGATCTGAACGAACAGTCTTATACTGATTGTTGTTGCTGTTGTTGCTGCTGCTGCTGTTGCTGTTGCTGGCGTTGTTGTTGCTGTTCTTGAACTGTCATTGCTGAAGAACTTGTTCATCACCCCTCCCAGGCACATGGTGTTTTTCAACTGAAGTGCCTTCCCTGGGGTTCACACTTTGTTTTTTATCTGGGAAGGTCTTGGGTCTCAGAATTGTGTCTTTGGCCCTGGGTTTGCAACAACAACAGCTCCCGCCTGACACTTCTGACAACTTATTGAAGAATCGCGCTCTCGCTGGGGACTCTCACAATTTATGCAGGAATCGCGCGCTCGCGTTCGATTTCCTCAACATTGATTTAGACGTCGCGCCCTCGACACTCAGGAATCACGCTCTCGCAGTGGATTTCTTACGATTTACTTGGGAATCGCGAGACGTCCTCGCGATTCATGCAGAACGCACGCTTTAGCATCCCGCCTGCTTGACCTGGCCGCCTGGGCGCGCCTTCCGACCCGCCCGCTAGGGTCTGCCCACACGATCTGCCCGTCTGGTTCTGCCACGTGTTTTTTGCTCCTAGCCCCTTCCTGATAATTCCATGCTCCATTCGTCTCCCTGCCCCTTCCATGCGTCCCACACGCGGCAGGTAAGGAAGATATTCCCCCAAGGGGGTACGATCGAAGACGAAGAGGTTGTGTGTCGAGGGTTTTGGATATACGTGTTGAGCGTTACGCGAGCAGATAAGAGCGATCAGTCTTAGCATGATTATTGTGGTTGTTGATTTGTTGTCGTTGTTGTGGTTGTTGTTGTCGTGATCGTTGTTGTTGTCGTTTTGTTGTTGTTCCTGCTGTAGTTGTCGTGATTGTAGTTGTTGTTGTTGTTGTTGTTGTTGTTGTTGTTGTTGTTGATGTTGCCTCTGTTGTTGTTGTCGTCGTTGTCGTTGTCGTTGTCGTTATCGTTGTCGTTGTCGTTGTCGTTGTTGTCGTTATGGTTGTTGTTGTTGTTGTTGTTGTTGTTGTTGTTGCGGTTGTTGTTGTTGCTGTTGTTGTTGTTGTGGTTGTTGTTGTTGCTGCTGCTGCTGCTGTTGTCGATGCTGTTTTTTCGTCGATTGTTCCCTACCTAGGCTCTGCCTAGAAGGGTTCTTACTCTCTGAGCTTAAAGGGGCCGGGCAGTGTAACCCGCCCCGGGCGGTTCCCCCGGCATCCGCCCCGCGGTTCCCCCAGTTACGTCTTGCTTATCTCATCTTAGTTTAGCTTATTTCATCTTAGCTTAGCTTAGCTTCGTCTTAGCTCAGGTTTATCTTAGCTTAGCTTACCTTCATCTTAGCTTCGCTGAGCTGTAGCATATCAGAGCACAGCATAGCATAGCATAGCGTAGCATAGCATAGCGCAGCACAGTATCTCATAGCATAGCATAGCCCAGCATAGCATAGCATAGCGCAGCATAGCATAGCATAGCATAGCATATCATATCATAGCATAGCATAGCGCATCATGACATAGCATAGCATAGCATCGCGCAGCATAGCATAGCATAGCATAGCATAGCATAGCATAGTATAGCATAGCATAGCATAGCATAGCGCAGCATAGCATAGCATAGCATAGCATAGCATAGCGCAGCATAGCATGGCATAGCATAGCATAGCATAGCAAAGCAACTAATGCTGCTTTCCTAGGGGCTCCAACTTCTAGGTAGGGTCGCACTGGGGCAATTTTGTTTTATGTTTTGGTTGGCTTGCGTTTTGAGTCAAAGCGAAGGCGATCGAGATCATCTCCAGCGACGCCGTGGCGGGCAACGCCGACAAGCACCTGCCCGCCATGGCGCAGACGAGGGGCCGCGCCCTGGCGCAGGCGCACGCCGCGCACGCCCGCTCCCTCTCCGAGAGCGTCGTCCGCGACCGCGCCGTGTCGTTTCTGCGCCGCCGCGCCGGCGAGCTGGACATCAAGGGTGGAAAAACCATCCCGACCCCGACAATTCGCGTTTACGAAACAGCCCTGGGCGTTTACTAAACAGCCCTGTCCTCTTCGATTCCTTCCATGGGTGCGTTTACTAAACGGCTTCGCTTGTCGGGGTGCTTATTACGGGGGTGGATTTTCTGCTCTCCAGGACAGCCGCGTGCTGCAGACGCTGGCCGCCCGTGTGTCCGACGACCCCTTCGCGAAGGCCACGCCTGGCGTCGCGGCGAGCGAGGGGGGGAAGCGAGGGGGTGCAGGCCCTCTCAGAAGGCGGCGGGGCTTTTTTTGAGAATCGCTCCCGGCTTCGAGGGGTGTCTTCGGGGAAGGCACAGAAAGCTTCTCAGAAGGCCGGGGGATTTCCGAGTTTTCTGAGAAGGCCCGTCCTGTCTCACTTCCCCCTGGGGCTCGCCGCCGACTGATGGAGGCAGCTGCACGCCGACAGACTGCCCTGGGCGTGGGCCCATCCTGGGCTCCAAGACATCGCCATGGAGCAAGCCCAGACATGCTCGCGTCGTGAGCCAAAAAAGCTCGACGGATGGTTTTGGGCCATGCTCGGCTTCTGGGGGCTCTCGCCGTGCCCTGGGACTGTCGAAAAACGACTCGGGATTAGAGGCGTCCAGCACAGGGCCCGGGGAAAGGGTCGGGACTTCCGGGTATCGCGTTCTGAAAAGATCAGAACCTCGCCTGTCTGGGAACGCATCTTGAGGGAAGCGGGTACCGAGGGTTTTCACCGTTTTTGGCCCCGCCCCCCCCCCTGGGCCTTCACGGGCCCTGGGCTTTTTGCAAGCGGCTCGGGGCGAAAGGCTGGTCCTGGGGGCCCAGACATGCGTCGTCCTGATTTTTCCACTGCGACCAACAAACATTTGTATATATATATATATATATATATATATATGTATGCATGCATGTATGTATGTATGTATGTATGTATGTATGCATGCATGTATGTATGCATGTATGTATGCATGCATGTATATATATATATATATATAAACGTACACACGCACACATATGTATAAATATGTATGTATGTATGTATGTATGTATGTATATATATATATATATATATATATATATTATAAGGACGCGAGCATGTCTGGGGGAAGGTCCCAGGGTCCGGGGCCCGCTTCCCTCGGGGCCCGTGCGCTTCCTGCCCGAGGCGGGTGGGCGTGCGCGCTCCCCTGGCACAACCAGGGCGGCGTGCCGTACGTCGCCCTGGCTATTTAGCTAGTAGCAGCGGGGCCTAGTAGAAGCTAATCTACGCCATGGACGGACGTTTATGATTCAGACAATCCTCAAGGGGATGACACCTGACGTACGCATCGGCCCTGGGCCCAGGCCTGGCCCCCTGTCCAGGTCGGCGTCTGGACGCCCCCTCTTGGACGCCTCCGAGCCAGTCCGCCAGACGCGGCCGATGTGGAACGATCTGCGCCATCGGATGGTCGTGACCGTTTTAGGCTGAAGGATCTACGCGGTTTCAGAAGCCAACGCAAACATCGTCACCACACGGGCCTGCTGTAGTCGTCGTCCCTCCAAGGTCAAGAAGCTGATCAAGGACCTTATCGTGCGCCTAATGGAAGAGGCCAACGCCGAGGCGGAGCACAAGGGCTGGTGCGACACGGAGCTGTCCACCAACGAGCAAACGCGCAAGGAGAAGACGGCAGCGGTCGAGGGGGGAGGGGCTGTGCAGTCCAAGTTTTGCCATAACGGATAAGGAGCGTCGTCCCTTTTGGGCCTCAATTGCGCCCAGAAGCACGAGTCACGAGGAGCGACCCATAGAAGGACGTATGTAACATCGAGCCCAAGTGGGCCTCATCCCAAATTTAGACCACAACACAGCCCCAGCCTCTACAAGGTCTGCGTACTTTTCCAAGGCTACCCTTGCATCCTAGGGTGCCCTTGCACACCCTTTAGCATGGTTTGTGGTCGTGCGCCGCTGGTTTCAACTTGGACGCCCAATATGTCTGGCACATTTGAATTGCGTCCTCCTTGTGTGTTCTCACCGCGCCAATCAAAGCTGTGCGCGGCCCGCTTAGCTTCTAATCGGAAGAGGCTCGCTCTCGACCCGCAGATAAAAAAAAACTGTTCTCACCGTGTCGCACGATTGGCCAGCGCAGTGGCTGCCGTGGCGTGGCGAGGAGGTGCTCGGGGAGACCCCTGGGGACTTTCTGGAGGCCTCACGGGCCTCCGCAGGCCACCCTGGACCCGAGGAGGGGGACGCGAGGGCTTGAGTAGGAGGTCGACTACGGAATTGATTTACCCCGAAATTGACTTCCACGTCGAATCTCAATCAAACTCACGTAGAATATTCGTAGATTTGCGAGACATCCACAACTTTTCCGTGGGTTCGACGAGGAGAATCAACTCTGGGGTAAGTCAGTTTGGTAGTCGATCTCCTCTTCGGAGGGCCGTGCCAGGGGGAGCACGCGTCGCGCGTGAGAGGCCGTGGCGTGGCAGGCGCGGCCCGTCGACTGCCGAGCGACTTCCCCCCCCTCGAGAGGTGCGTTGCCTGGGCCTCCTGCCCCTGCGCTGTTTCCTTCCTCCCGCGCGGCTTGGCACGTGCCCGTCTGTGGAGGAAATTGTGCACCGGAGAAGGGGCAGGTGTGGGACAGTGCAGAAATTCGGGGGTGGACAGAACCCCCAACAGTGACACGTCGATTAGTGAATTGTCCGTTTTCGGTTCTCGAGAGGGCGTTGTGGCCGTTATTTTCCAGGCTTGCGGCCGCCAGGTTTGGGCCTCAGGTCGTTTTCACTAAACCACGTTTTCCCAAAGGGGGGTCTGTCCATCCCCGAGAAATGGAGGCGTCACTCCTCTGGAGGCGCCTCGACCTAGCTTCACTCGGAGGAGGAGGAGCGGGAGGGGGACCCGTGGCTCAAGCCAGCCTCGTGTGCCTCCCCGATCAGAGGCCCAACCAAACGACAGGCAGGGGCGTCCACCTCGCCCTCTCCCGAGGAGGGGAGAGAAGGATACGGCAGGTTTGTGCCGCCCTCTGCGGAGCGGCGACGCTCCGCCAGTGGCCTGGACTCGGCCGGCGTCTCTCTGGCCCGTGTCGTCGAGAAGCCGCGATCGTCCGAGGCTGAACGATCGGCGCGGTGTCGGCAGCCGACGCCCGCGTCGTCGCGACGGGAGCCCGCCGTGCGTGAGGGGCAGGGGGGGGGTCCTCGGGCCAGAGGGGAGGCAGCGAGCCAGGGAGGCGGACGTCGGGAGGGCGGGGTCGGGAGAGGGGAGAGGGTCGGTGCGATCGGGCTGAGCACGGAACGAGTGGGTGCGAAGACCAGCAGCATTTCCTCCTCATTCTGGACGCGGTTCGCTGTCCATGCCGCCGCGGACGGTGTTCATTTGAGACAGGAGAGGCCGCCTGCCCAGCCGCGGCCGCTGTCGGCCTTGGACCACACTTGTTGTTGGGCATTGTACTATGATGCTCCAACCTGCTTTGGCCTTGATCACCAGAGACAATCTCGAGCACCAAACAAGTACCCCAAAACTCGAGGGTTTTCACGTGTCGGGCCCTGGGAGACACTCGTCCGACACTGCTTCGACACGCTTTCGACACTTTTCCTGGTGCTCGAAATTATTTCTGGGGTATGGTCCTCAAGTAGGATGTGAGCAGCATAAGCATCGTACCCATTTGTCCGTACCCACGGGCGTCCAACGAGGGAGGTCGAGACCCTGCACGCGGAGATCGACGAGCTCCAGGCGTCCATCGCCAAGCTCAGCGAGGAGAGGGGGGGGCGCCTCATCTAACATCTCAGGGTCCATTTCGATCCGATCGATCCGACTCGATGTCGGTACTGGCTGGCCCGATGCAACCCGATCTGATCCGATTCCGCCTCCGTGCCGATGCACTCCGATCCGACGAAGATTTCGATCAGATGCGATCTCTTGACCCGATGCTGACTGAGCCTGCCATCTCCAGTCCCTCATCGAAGCCGCCAGCCTGCCATGGCTTGGGCGTGTAGTCGGACGGGGCTAGGACGAGGATCAATCCGTTCCAGAGCGTTCTGGAATGCTCTGAGAAGGCCGCGGCGCCCGAGACATCCTCCAGAGCCGCCAGATCTCAGAGATTCTCGATGTGTCCTTGCCCGATTTTACCCTCATCCTGGCTTCGTCTTGCCTGGCGATGCGCGGGCCCCAGAGGTTCGGACCGCTTCCCAAGGGCCAGTCTTCGTCCCGAGTCGTCTTTTGACGCTCCCGAGGCTCGGCGAGGGCCCCCCGAGGCCGAAAACGGCCAGAAACCGCCCGATTCCATCCCCGCCCGATTCCATCCTCCAGAGACTCCGGATCTCACAGCTTCTCGTCTCGTCCTCGCCCGATCTCATCCTCGCCCCGCGTCGGTCGCGTCCGCGCGGGGGCGGCCAGTGGGCCCGAGAGGCGCCCACCCCCCCGGGCGCGCGGCAGGCTCGGGCCGCGCCGCCGCGGCAGCACGCCCTAGCGGCCCGGCGCCGCTCGGCCCGCGGGCTGGCCGACGTCGAGCGACCGGCGCTTTCCGGAGGCCGCGAGGCCGGGCGCTCTCTCCGAGGCCTCCCAGGTGTGGTCGCGGGCCTCTCTAGGGCCTCTCCAGGTCTCTCTAGGGCGCCCTCTCTCCGGGCCTCTCCGGGCCTCCCTAGGGCGCCCTCTCTAGGGCCTCTCTGGTCCTCCCGCTATGGCGCCCTCTCTAGGCCTCTCTAGGGCCGAACGAAAGGGGATGGGGAAAGGGAGGGGTACGAAATCTGCTGCGTGCAGCTGGTTTCGGCCCCGCCGCCGGGCCCAGTCCACGACACATGGGCGCCTCCCGGCGCCGGGAGGCGCCGGGAAGCGCAGCTACGTGAGCTAATTCTCTACCCTGCCCTTTGCTATCCCCCCCTTTCGTTCCCCCCCGAGGGTCGGAGTAGACGGGGTCGGAGGATCGCGCCGCATCGCCGATGCATCGGCGACGCGGCTTGATGCGGAGCCCGATTTGCTTCACGTCGACGTCGCCGATGCATCGCCCACGTCGACAATGCATCGCTGGTGCATCGCCGATGCATCGGCGATGCACCGCCGATGTATCTTCGATGCGGCGCGATCCTCCGACCCCATCTACTCGGACCCCATCTAGGAAGCCTCTACCCTCGCGTTGTGAACAACATCGCGACGGGAGGGCTTGGGCTGTTTTCGGCCTCTGGGGGCCCTGGCCAGGCCTCGGGGCCGTCAAGAGACGACTCGGGGTGAAACGCCAGTCCCGGGGAATGATTCGAGATCTCTGGGGGTCGACCTCGGGACCGTCGTCGAACGACTGAGGATGAAAACCAGTCTCGGGGAAGGGGTCGTAGGGGACCCAAAAGAACCATAAACATAACAACTCGGAGGTCCGCGCAGATTTCTCGGATCGGCGCTGGGACCCCCCGGCGGCGCCTCCGGCGCCGCCCCTGGCGCGCTCCGCGCGCCAGGGAGGGGGGTCCAGCGCCGATCCGAGAAATCTGCGCGGACCTCCGCGTTTTTATGTTTATGGCTCTTTTTGTTCCGCTAGGTCGAGACTCCTGACGCTGCGAAGAAGTCACGACGTCGGGTGTCTGGGAAGGCCAGCCGACCTCGAGCGACAGGCGCTGCCGAGAAGCCGCGATGGCTCCAGGCCGAACGGTGCACGCGGCGTCGGACCCAGAGATCCGACGCTCCGACAAAACTCGGAGCGGGCAAGTTCTGGTCCGTTTTCGGCCTCCCGGCGCCCTCGCTGGGCCACAGGACCGTAATTAGCGAAAACGACTCGGGACGGAAAGCCGGCCCACGCACGGAACAAAAATCTGCACCAGCGAAATATGCACGGAAGTGATGGGTACAATGCCCAACAGCGGATCTTGTGCCTTCTGAACAGGACTCGCTGTCCACGCCGCCGTGGCCTGTGTCCATTCAAGACAGAAGGCCGCCCAACAGCGGCTGCTGTTGGTTTGGGACAACATTTGTTGTTGGGCATTGGACCCATGCTTTCCGTACCCATTTCGGGCGTTCAAAAAACAGTGTGGAGCGGCCCGATGTTTGGGGACATCGGCGCGGGCGCCATCTAGGCGTGAGCCTGCCGCAGGCTCGGCCCCTTCATCCGCCCGTCCGCGCAGCCGCCCAGCCCGGCCCTTGGCGGCGAGGAGCTGACGGAGCTCGCAGCCGCCGTCGCCGAGCTCGACAAGGCGATGGCAGAGGCGACCTGCCCCCAGCCAGGGTCCACTTCCGATCGATCCGATTCGACATCGATTCTGGCCAGCTGGATCCGATCCGATTCCGGTGCCCCGACGATTCAATTTGGCCCGATGCTCTCATGGCGCTGTTGCGAATCTTGGCGCAGCTGGTCCGATTCGATAACGATTCCGTGCCCATGTAGACCGATCTGCTACACGCTCTGGTCCGACTCGACTTCCCGATTCGATGCTGACAGATCCCGCCGCCCCCGCCGAGCCCCCCTCCCGCCCCCCCCCCTGCCGTGCTCTCCATCCCTCCCCCTCTCCGCGCCAGGCACCTCCTATACACCACCACCGTACCTGGCCGGGTCACAGAATGTTGCACAGGCCCTCGTGGGACCACTGATCTCGTGAGCCATCTGAGGAGGACGAGGAGGAGGAGGAGGAGGAGGAGGAGGAGGAGGAGGAGGAGGAGGAGGAGGAGGAGGAAGAGGAGGAGGACCCTCGTGGCCTGAGCCAGGAGGGCGCATGCACCATCGCAGGGCCCAGGAGGGCCCCGGCCAGGCGCGGCGGCAGTGTATGTCTATGCCCTCCGCGGAGGATTCAAGATATCTGCGGAGGCCCCGGGAGGCCCTCCTGCTCTTGCCGGGGCTCTCGCCTCCTCCTTCTCCTCCTTCTCCTCCTCCTCCTCCTCTTCCTCCTCCTCCTCCTTCTTCTCATCCTCCTCCTCCTCCTCGGTCCTCTCCTCCCTCTCCTCCTCCTCCTCCTCCTGCTTCTCCTCCTCCTCCTCCTCCTCCTCCTCCTCCTCCCTCACTCTGGCCCCTGCTCTGGCCCCCGCTCTGTGGCCTGGCTCTCTCTGCTGGCTCTCTCCCCCCTCCATCATCGGGAGCTGTGATCTACAGCCGAACACATGATCAAGAAAATGAGCTTTGAGAGAAATCTGGGCCAGCTTTCCAGAAGTTCCTTAGAGCAGGCTCTGGCCACTTTTCGTTGTAAGCGATGGAAATGAGACGGTGCTCGAGACTTTCGGCCAACTTTCCAGATAGTCGGTCTAGAAACGCTGGCCCAGCTGTTCGGGAGGAGGTTTCTTAATCAGATGCTCGGCTGCAGCGCGGCCTCGAGGACCTGCCCGACGAGGCAGGACGCCCGATGACCGCCACCCCTGCAGGAGTGGTG